CGGTAGTGCATTGTATAAGTAATCGACGTACAATATGTTAGGTCGTCAATTTAAGGGATACGTTTTTATTATAATAATAATAATAATAATAATAATAATAATAATATTTTAGACTATAGAAACTGCTCTTTTGTCTAACAACTTTCGCCTTTGTGTCGTATATCGTCGACAATATTGGAGACTTTTCGCTGAATGAAGGACCAATTTCTATATTTACTTATATCCCAATTATTCTGAGTGATTGTTAATCCTTTAACTTGTATGTTGGACATCCTTAGTATCAGGGACAAATTTAGAGAGTACTTCGGGGGACAAAATTGTATTGTGTACGATGCGTTTTCACGATAAATATAATTTGTTTCCCATCTATGGTGGCAGGGTGTCCTGCAAAATTTGTAGTCTTAAGAGTTTCTAGATATGGGATTCTATTATATTGACTCATGATGCTACATCACGTGAGCCGCTCTAGTCGAACAAATACGAATCAAGAGAATATGGCATTATGGGATTTTAATATGAACAGCGCACACTACGGATTAGAGCCGGACACAAACTTCCAGAGTTTTTAGATTGGAGACAAAAATTCCCAAAATGATGTTTTTCGTTGTGGGGAAAGAATGAGGAACATAAATTGACGGAGATATGTTTGGAGATTATTTGGGAAAAGTATTTTCATCCGGAATGGAGATAAAAATATTATTATCGCAATTATTAAGAATAGAAAAAAACAATAGACTTTGTACTCTCCCATTTTATATATCAAAGAGAAAAAAATAAACGACAGGCACAGAGGAAGAAAAATATGAGAAAAACGTAGGTAGGGCTTGGAGCAGCTCAAAGGATGATGATTGGTTGAATTATATGAATTCAAGGGTACGGCCAATGGAATCGTCAGGGACAGCTCATGTCCATGGTCAATAATTTGAAGAATATTTGTCGTTTCAAAGTTGAGGAATTTTCTTTCATTGAAGAAGTTCCTTGAGGAAATTCTGTAATAATGGTAGGGAAAGAGCACGCAACACATCTGGCAACCCTGCTCAATTCCAAAAGTTGTCGGCGACGAGACCAGTGAGTCGAGATTTCTTTGACGGAGGATGCTGGTTCCGGCACTGCCATTATTGAGAAAGAAAAAAATCGAAACTAAACCAGTTATCGCGGCGCGCCGTTCGTGTCGGCTGACGAAAAAGCAACAAGGTATAATGAATGTAGAAGATGACTTTGTATCTTCCGACTCCGTTTATCACTCTTGTATTTCCATCTTAAACGAATTATTTACTGCATTTTCAATGGAGGGGGCAACCGAACTATATGTACAAAACAGGATGGCATACTACGACGAACACTGAAACACAATTTTATAGCACATATTTTTATAAGAAGTATTTGCAAATTTCTGCAAGTTGAACAATTGAGACTGTGCAAGCATGGAAGCGCTTTCATTTACAAATATGTTTTAAATTATATTTTGTTATTGAAAGTTAGTCCGGCTCTGCTGTGGACACGGTCGGAACTACTTCCCTTTGTCGTGGTCTTAGAATGGAGGTTGCCCAAAACGCTTACAACCCTTCAAGCAACACAAGTCACGGGAATGGCTCTGATGTTCATAATTTCGTATTACGACACGCTGTGAAAAAGTCCATATTATGTCACACTTGCAGGAAGGGGCTTATCTCTTATCGTAAAGAATCAATTGTGGCGTCACGAGATCGCTGAATGAAAGTTACTGAGAGGCAGAAACCGTGAAACAGTCCGTTTCAGGGTTTCAACCATGCTGCAAGGATCTTTGCAGTGTGGTTGAAATTAAAATAGCGCGTTTTAACTGATTAAAAATATATTGGCATAAAATGCATTGAATAGTCTCAAGGATGTTTTGTGTACATCGCGTAGGCTGAACGGATGCTTATCATGTTATCGCGGAAGTGAGCAGATTTCTATATGTAGTTTAGGATAAGAGAAAAGAGCCCAGTATAGTCCGATTTAAATGAAGTGTCCCTTCGAAGTCATGAACTGGAAGTAGAGGGGGTACTTCATCCAATCGGAAGCTTCGTTACGACTTAAATATTTGGTATTGGAGCACCCGTTTGGATGACAATGTCCCCCCTCTCCTTCCGGCTCGTGATCTCGAAGGGACACTACATTTCAATCGGACCGCAGGTCACCGCAGACGGCGTGGGTCACGCACATGCACGAAGCCCTCGAGCGTGTCCTTGCTGAGGTCGCGGCCGTTGAAGTAGAAGTCCTTGACGTGCTGCACGGTCTGCTGGAGGCGCTGCGGGTCCGGGCGGCCGGCCACCAGCTTGTCCGGCAGCAGGCGCTGCAGGTCGCCGGCCGTCTCCGCCAGCGCCGCGTCCGCCGCCGCCTCCAGCGCCGCCTCCGCCGCCGCCGCGTCCCCGCGCGCCAGCGCCTGCGCCGCGCCCTCCGGCGGCGCCAACATGCCCACCCGGAACAGCGACCCTACGGAAAGTTCAATTCGTTGATTAGTTATACCGGGAGTTCATCAGTCTCGTAAGTGTAGCGCGTGTTTTATAGCAGGGGAAGGCTGTGATCTTCCTTCGCTGGATGGCGAGATCCGACGTCGACATACGTCGGCTTGCGGGGATTTTTCCCATTCCAGGTATCTCCCACCAGCATGGCACCGCTCCAGACGGGACAAGCTCTAAGTTCCCGACATGTGTGGTAGTGTAGTGTTTGGGAGAGTAAGAATGAGTAGGAAAGAGGGGGTAAGGGCAAAGAATGGGAAGGATGGACCGCGCGCGGTCCGTGGTCCGTGGTCCGTTTGTTAGGGTACTGCTTCGGCATTTGCCTGGAGTTCATCGGAGGAACCAAGGAAAACTAACTGAGCAGCCGGCCGCTGGAATTCTCCTCCAGACAGCGACTAAACCTGGGTTTGCCAACAGAGTTCACGTAAGAGAGAGGCACTCGATAAGCAAAAAACAAACAACAAACGCATCAACACATTTCTTTTTATAAATATTTAATTTAGACTAACATCAGCTCTATTTTTTTCTTTCCCCTATTTGCGGTTCAAGTGAAAAGATTCGTTCACAAAATGCATATGAAGATGGTCTGAGCTTCTGTTTTTATTTTAGTGGCTAGACTGTCACTATCATCCATGCGTGTGTCATGTGCGTGAGTGAACGTTCAGGAAAAAGGATATTCATGTTTTCTTCTTTGAATTAAACAATAAACCATACAACGTAGCAGATGTTGGTCATGTGATTAAATGACAACAAATGTTAAAAATGTACTAAAAGGACATTTAAAATACAAAGGAGGACGAGAGGACAATTGCCGTCAATCGAGGGCTGTTCTTCTAAATGGAAGACGGTTGGCAACTCAAACTGAATCCGACCTAGATGCCTATCTAGTGTCGAAGAACTTGCCACCCTCGGATTCGAAAACTAGGACCTCCCGATCCAAATCACTGCAATGACATCCGTTGATGCCCTAAGCCACCTTTGCCGATCTGGGAGAAAGCAAAATTGCATTTTTTGTTGTTTTGTGAATTTTGGGTTTTTTAACTACGCGTTGCATCTTTTTCGCAAGAAGTCTCTTCGACCTTTTGAGCACTGAACGTATCCTGGAGTAATCCTTCGTTCAGTTTTGTCTTATTGAAAGGCGTACCGTCGCAGTGCCTTTCATCCCTTCGGTCAGGGGCTCGGTGTCATTAGTATCTGGGGTTCCCAGACGGTCACCCATCCTGGTGCCTTGAGTTACTTATATTCAGTGACTTCAAGAAACGTAGTTAAGCAATTCGGTTAATGACGCCGGCGAACAACATCGAATTAAACAGCATCTTATATGTGTCTAACGATACGAGAGATACATCGCTCTCAAAAATGATGTCCTATTTCAGAAACACTACGTAAGATTACCACTTACATAAGGGGAAATGTTACAATTCTCTTTAAAACAAAATCAATAAGTTTTCACATTCTGCGAAAAACCTAATTTTCGGAGGGGGAAAGGATAACTCACTACTTCTCAGACGACAAAATTATCTTTAAACTACTCTTTCGTTATATAATAGTTTTGATATTATTGTCCGAATAATATTTCTGTCTACTTAACAGCTGGGGTGGGAGCAGACCGATGTTGCCACGTGGTCGTTCTTGCAACAACAGCAGCAGGAAACAAATCGCAATAAGAGCACGCAACAGTAGACGTCACAAAACCGCATACACAATGCATAACCCAAAAAGTAATGGACCTCTTCTATTGGCAATTGTTTCGCGCTGTATGATTTCATTTTTTGTCTTAATACGTACCAGCAACTCTGCAGAATTTGAAATCTCTGATTGGATAACGGAACACCCTCTCCCCTGTCAGCCTTTAGCTGTCACGCAAACCAAAATGTCCTTCCATTATTCGAACAATAGTGCCATTTACCTCGGAGGTGCACGACATTTCTTCCCGCCCGTCAAGGTTCGATCTAAAGCACAACTTTCTGCAATCGGGCAACCCTTTCGCGTTGCGTAGCGCATCGCTATACTATTTTATTGTCCCCACCCCCGTGGGGTCTGGAACCTCATCCAAATATTTTAACTATCACATTCCCAGAGTGGTTAAGAACACCATACTACATGGGGTATGATGATAAAACGTGTGAAAAATTAGAAAGATGAATTGAAAAAAGTGGTAAAACTCTGTGTAATGGTGTATTTGTAGTTCTTCAGTCTTCAGACATCATACGATGTCCAACGACTGATATGATGGCATAATACTCAACAATGGTTTTTTTTGCATTTAAACTTTATAATAATAAATGTGGATATCTGAAAAATTGAAACCCTTAAAGAACATCAATAATGTGTCACGGTTTGGTTAACTGCAATCATATCATACAAATGAGCAAAAAAATACGTTCACATATTGTAGATAGAATACTTGTCTAGATATACATGTACAATAAATATTAATAACTTATTACACGCATTTAATCAATATAATAAACTTATAAAATATACCCCATCCTATTTTATCTAATCTTGGTGACGTAGATCAAAACCTGTACAGTAGCTACGCCGCAGTTGCGAATCCCTTACTCACCGGGCAGCAGGAAGATGCCCTCGTGCGACGTGAGGCCGAAGACGATGGGCACGCGCTGCGCGGCGCCGTTGGCCAGCAGCGCGTCGGGCTCGTCGGGCAGGAACGGGTCGCTGGCCGCCGCGGGCTCCACGCACGGCACGAAGGTGGCCAGCACGCCCCGGCGCCGCTCCTCGCTCGTCTTGGCCGCGTCCACCGCCGCCACCAGCGCCTCGGCCGGCGCGGCGCGCAGCCACTTGAGCAGCGCCGACGCGCTCTCGCTCGTGTCCCAGTCGCAGCCGGCCGCCAGCGCCAGGCGCTTGGCGCGGCCCGCCGGGTCCCGCGACAGCGCCCACGCCATGCACGCGCTGCCGCTCTGCGCGATGGCGCGCCGGAACAGCCCTGCGGCACGCCGAGCGCTCGACTAGGTTCGTTGCCTGATGGGTGGCTCTGGGCCGTCTATTGCTACGGTTGATTGAAAGGTGATTCCAGACGCGTCAATTGATAAAGGCCTTAGACCCGTAAGTGTAGTGCATGGTATTTCCTCCGGAGATGGCGATGATCGTCCCCCGCTGGATAGTGAGATCCGCCGCCGACCAACCGACGACTAGAGGGGTTTTCCCCAACCAGGAATCGCCCTCCAGCTGGGCACCACCCCAGCCGCGAAAAGCTCTAAGCTCCTGACCGGTCCCGGCATGTTTTTGTAGTGTAGTGTAGCGTGTGTAAGGGATGAGAATAGAACAAGGAAGAGGATTGAATGATCGCGCGCGGTTCGTGACCCATTTGTTAGGGTATTGCTTCGACATTCGCTTGGTATTGATCAGAGAAACCACAGAAAACGACCTATCAGAACAACCGGCCGCCAGAATTCATCTCCATACAGCGACAGAATATAGCTGAATTCGAAAATGTAACCACTGTCGCGACTCGATCCTAGGACCCCCCGGTCAGAGGCACTGCAGTGACATCAGTCATTATCACGCGCATACACGCTATCTTCCGGGAGGTGACGGTGCTCCTCTTCCGCTGTAACACTAGATCCAGTGCCGACGTACACATCGACTGGTGGAATTTCCCTCTCCTGGTATCTTCTCCAGTGGGGCACCGCCCCGGCCGCCGCAAGCTCTAAGCGCGCGACTGGTATCTTGATGCGCCGAAGAATAGCGCATTTAAGGGTGTATATGTGTGTGTTAAAGGGGAAAGTTGTGGACAAGTAGCGGAAGGAAAGATCGCGCGCACTCCTTGTCCCATTTCATAGCGTATTGCTCCCGCATCCACCTGGTGATAGACTAGGTTTTTCCATGGAATTCAATTTGCCTTAAGAGATCCGACGAAAGAGGTCACTGAATTCACCCCCTATGCTCCAGGGAGTATGCCTGAGCATTGATTCGTCTTCCCACAGCATGCATGTGCTGCCGATATGCTCAATAGTGACAGAGCAGTTCTGCGTTTGGTATTCAGTTGGCTAACAGGCAACATGCGAAAATGGACTCGACATGCTGGCGAAACGATGGGACATGTGCATCTGCAGGAGAGTTAATGTCAAGGAGACCGAAAACGCTCACGGGAACCACCGTTAAGCTGGCCCTACAACTACAAAATCAAATATGCCACCACCAAAACTATTTAATTGCTAATTAATTAGGCAAAAATAATTTAATTGTTCTTCAAACTTCCTAGCTGTTAATGGTGAGCTGTGTTTAGATTAAGCTGATACCGCCACAATTGGTTACCACAAAAAGAAAGATGCCATCACATAGAACGATTTAATTGCAAATTAATTACGAAAAAATAATTTAATTACTCTTGAACTTTCCGAGTAATTATTGGTGAGTTGCCGACGGCCGACAGCCGCCCAGAGCGCCCAGCCGCTAGCTTCGTGCGCCATATTTAAATGAAATATACGGACTGGCCGAGATCTGACTTCGATACTGTATTTACTTCGATCAACAAACCAAAATAGCCTAATGAAAATTATGCTAATACTTTATTTTATAAAAGTCCTCCGTAAACTTTAAATATGATTAAAGAATTACTATATACGTGTCCTAATCTACGATATGTTGGTAGAGCCTTGATTTTAACAAAGTACGTAAGACATCTGTGGTATCAAGATACAAGTTTATTTTACTGAAATTGTGTTTGAATTGTGTCGGTTTCTACCGCGAAACTTCCCCAATGTGTTATTATCGTAATTACAGGCAAATAACAGCAAGTATTTGTGCACTTGACTAAGTGTTCATTCACGCTGGCAATATTTGTAACTGAAGATTTGACATTCGACGTTCTTTGTAACGTATGCTAGTTTTAAATCAGTAATCCGTTGGATGAGGTTTTTGCATATGACTAGATATTTAATTATGGAGGGTAAATATCCTGTTTGGAACTTTTTTTTCCTTTGCTATTTGTCTCCTGTAATTAAATGTGGACTGATTTTTGTAAGTCCCTCATTACATACGTGTTGTTTACTTCATGTCATTACTGACAAGAAATATCTATATTTATTTTTATTACTTATTTAAAATACTCAATTTTTATACTTGCCTTTAGAAAGAGGACTAAGAACTTGATAGTGCACTGAAGTGCCCCCTGCACTCTCTCCGAAGATTGTGATGTTGTCTGGGTCTCCCCCGAATACATGAATGTTATTCTTCACCCAACGCAGTGCCATTGTTTGATCTTTCAGTCCAGCATTGCCTGGTGCCTCCGCTGTTCCCAAGCCCAAAAAGCCTGCAAGCATTGTATGTTGAACTTATTATTACACGAATACTCAGTGAGCTACTTGTGAAATTACGATTCATTTCATACATGGTCCGGTACAAATGATACGCATTTAAGACAAGATAACCTCTTAACTAATGGCTATCAGTTACTTGAATCAATGTTATTTATGAGTATGCATTGTTTATTAATTACAGTGCACCACCCAAATAATGTATTGAGACATTCAGTACAATACAATATTAATAATAATGCTATCAAACTTCAAATACTGTGTCAGAAAGGTTCTGAACATTCCCAATGAAACAAGAGTTGGCTCACTTCGCAACCAGAAATTGACTTAGAAGTCTGTGACTAGGAGAATGTCACCCGTCATTCTAGAAAACGAAAGATTCGTAATTCATCCAGGACACGTGTTCCACCTACATTGACAACTTACCTAGGGGTCCTAGACGGTAGTTAATCGTCACAAGCACCACATCATGCTCCATAAGAGGCTCGGGCCCATATAAGTCACCTGAACCCAGCAGGAAAGCTCCCCCATGAATCCAAACGAGCACTGCCCGTAGCCTCTCTTCTTTGCGACCAGTGGGAAGACGTGGGGTGAACACATTCAGGAACAAACAGTCTTCGTCTCCTACAATCTTCTTGCTGGTGGGATCGTATTGAAGACTTTGATTGCCTGGCTTGGTGGCATCGCGAATCCCCGTCCATGATTCAAGAGGCACTGGTGGCTGGAAGAAACGTAAACAAAGGATTATTAAGAAAAAAACCTAACAATTTTCTTTTGGTTTAAAAAAATACGTTTTGTTATTTACGTCGGTAAACACGCCACTATCTAAACAACTTTTTAAGAGTGCGTCCATAGCAACGGCCGTTAAAATTCTCGAGAGTCAATTAAAAATATTTTATTGAATTCCCGGAATTATATTTTAACAGTGCCCAGAAATATTTGGATAAATGTCTCTTTTTGCCCCACTTGCCCGCTTATCGTTTTTGCCCTCTTTCGTCCCTTTTGTCGTCCATTCTCCATTTGTCTCTTTTGTCCCCTTGTCTCATCAGTCCCACTTGTCCCCCTTTTCGTTTGCTCCCTTGTCCCATTTTGTTCTCTTGCCCCATTTTCTTTCCTTGTCCCATTTGGTTCCGATGTCCCTCTTGTCCAATTTTGTCCCTTTGCACCATTTTGTGACCGGTTTAGAGGACTTGTTACATAAATAATTATTTTGTATCCGAAATATATGAAACTTTTCAAAAATGTTGTTTGGATTTTCATTAAATTATTACAAAGCAAAAATAGAATTTTCCTTGTGATATTTATCTCACATTATTTTAATTTAAAATAAGACAAGCAGTTTTTTAATTAACTACATTTTGTTTTATTATTTACAGGTGCGACAAATGTTCGCACAGGATCCAGAATTCGACCCTTCTGTTATCAGAACGTGCAAGTGTTACCTTTGGCGAACAGATAAGTAAGTACGTTTTCGATGTCTTACGTTATTTTTCAGTGTGGTTGTGTGAACGTTTGTTACACTGTTTGCGTCTTCTCCAAACAAAAACATTCAGTCAAACACGATTAAATGCACTATGCAATTTTTTAAACATACCAATTGCTTAATTTTAATATTCGATAAGCTTAGTTGAGATTAAACGGATTGTGACATTGCAACCAAGAGAGTTTATAATGGATTTCGTGAGCCTCACAAGGAATATTGTGCATAAAGAAATATCTGTATATTTGCATGTACAACAAAGGTTTGTTATATCATTGAACGCCATTTTGAGCAATAACCGTGCAATTTTATATACAAGCATCCGTCTAATTGACATTCGAAGAAATGAAATTGTAAGTTCTCGAGTGCTTTGGAAAAGGTGTGATCTCAAGTCAATCAAAATTAGATAACATTATTGCTGTGGCATTGAGAATGAAAGAATATCAAAGCGTATTAAATCACCATTACACAATTTTCATGATACGAAAGATAAAAATCTTATGATTCGCCGAAGGCATTATAGAAGTGAAAACTACTCAACAAAATGCTACTTCAGCAAAGATAGCAGTTCAATGAATTCAAGATAACTTGAATTTTATTGTAAGGTGAACATAAAACGGATTAGAGATCCTTTAAAAATGATTTTTAAGAAAAATGATACATTGGTTGATTCTATGAATAAATAAATTGTAAAAAGGTGGTTATATTTACCCTAAAATAGCACTGCTTAGCGTAGATAAAATATCGCCTGTCTTCGAATTTACAATAAAGTATAAATTATTTGAATACGCTATTTTCGCCTTCGATTTTCCGGCTCACTTTCTCATCGGCAGCTAACTAATAAACAAATTGAAAAATTGTGAAGCTAAATTTGCCGTTATTTTTCACGAATGTTCGGCAAAATGATTAGACTATATTCTTAATCGCCTTCATACAATTCGTCGTGATATCGTAAAATCATTCTAATCTGTCTGTTTTACCGTTAATGGGGAAAAATCGTACTCTACTATATTCCGAGCCTTACCTCCTCGCCTACCGCCCTTCAGGCGCCCCTTCTCTTTGCTCTCCACCCCTCCGCTCTTCACCCCCACGAGCAGCCTGTCGCGCTTGCCCACGTTTGCGAGTGCAAGTCAGCTTGTAAGACGTCCCTTCTGAATTCAACTTCCCTTCTGGAGCAAGTACATCAGACCTGCTAAACGAGCTGGATTGAGGGCATGGTAGCCCGGAAAATGTCTCAGGCATCACCTGAGCCATTTCTCCCTTCGCCACTCTGCTCGCGGCTGCCTTGTCCATCTCTACGAGTGGACTCTTTCCAGAACTGCCGCGCGCGGACTCTTAACAAAAGTACCCGTACGCCAGCGGATGCCCGGGGCGCTGGCCCTGTTGTGGGCACGGCCGGATGTATGTAAATTCGCCCTTCGTTGATAATGAGTCCCAGGCCTCGGAAGAAAAAGTCATTAAAAAATTAAAAAATAAAAAAAGTCCAAAATATGTATGTATCTATAAAAACCGCCGGCTAGATCGTGAAGGCTGAAAGGCCGTAGCTGCCTCGGCACGAAGGGTCGAGGGTTCGAATCCCACCTCGAGCATGGCCAATAATAATAATAAAATTTAAAAAATACATTTCTATAATAATTATTTTTTTTGTTAGTAAACCTGAAGGATTATTTCGGAAGGAGAGTCGAATACCTAAATCAGAGCCCTAGTTTTGTGCCCACTTCATGTAATGCGTGGCTGCTCAAATACAAAATTTCCGGCCCAACTGTCCACAGGTGCCCTCTCTAGTGAGCGGCATGTCACTCGCCTTTTACAAGAAAAGACCCTTTCGTTGAAAGTCGAAATTCCCTTCCTCCTTCTCCCCTTTCAGCAATGTACGCAGCGCCTTCCCCGCTCCCTTGGCATGGGGCTGAAAGGGGCATGCGACATGTCACACCGATTGTTAGCCCGTGACTCTTTAAGTGCGCCACCCACTCACTTAACTGTCTTTTACCGAACTCAACCCAGTTCTTGTGGAATACCAATGGGCAATAGTGGATTCCGGAATAAATTGCAAACTAATTGAAGGAAAGTTTAAGATATTTTGGAACTAAAATATTTTTCTAACAATATATTACAATTATTTCCTGCAAGTTTATGTTCAAGTATATTATATTTTTGAAGTATATCAAAGACATTTATTTTGGACATTTTCTGCACTCGTGGCCCCTACCTCAAGGGTATGGTTGGTCACCATTTTCTGAAGAACTAGTTTAATAACGTTGCTCTGATTTAACAACTGTTATCTTCATCGACAGATTCTAAAATAATATTTCAACGTATTAATGGGCAGATCTGACTGTAAGAGAGCGCCGTAACTTCCACGAAGCAATGGAGCTCGGCGGCAATCTCATTTTTTAAACTTCCGATGAGCTTTGAAAGACTGAAGTATCAGAGTTAGGAAAGATTCCAATAACAAAATTCCTAAACGATGAAAGAAAGATGGATGCAACTAGGCTGTGCCCATCGTTACCCCATGGATACGAGACCGATGTAGGCCACGGCAGGCAGCCGTGACGAAGTGCGTTCCCGTACCTTGAAGCGGCGATGTCCGACGGGCGGCTGCGCGTAGGGGATGCCCTGGAAGCTAAGGAAGGGCTGGCCGGAGGGCGTCTTGTCGCGTCGCCCGCGCAGCGCACCCTGCCGCACAGACACCGTCACGGACCCCGACATGTCGGCGCTCCTCTCGTCTCGTCTCGTCTCGTCTCGACTCCTCGCCGGCGGTGAGCTCTGCGCGCCCGCAGCCTTCTAGCGCGCCGGTGAGCAGGAGCCTTATCAACTGTATCTTTTCGGCGTATCGCTTTATCTCCGAGCGCGGTTCACTCCACCTTGAAATGCAGTAATCCGATAACTGCTGTTTTTCTTTACCTCCATCGGCAGATGTTCGTTTTTGTGTCATTTGACAAATAGGTTTCGATTGTCCGTAGTGGCTACGAGGTGATCAATAAAGGTTCACACAAAGGCCATAAAATTTTTTGGAATATTTTATTAAATACAATGGAGTGTAGAAGAGAATAATTTTATGTGAGATTTTACGTGATTTAACGATGAACAAATAGAATAAGTTTTAGTCACTGTAATATGTGAAATGAATGACACTTTTATCTCAATAGTTTTATCTTCATTTGAATCTGAGATCTAATTAAGCAATGATTCCGTTCCGTAACGAATTCAGTTTTCTAGAATTTTTAGGAAATTACGAAAATGTTCGTAAGTGCGTCCACTACAGGATGTCTTCTTCTTGATCAGTTTTTCATGTCAGTCGATTCGGATCCTATAGTGCTTTCTTTAGCATATAGCGTTTCAAGGTCTATAAATAATATTTCAACTTACAAAGAAAAATGTGTAATTACACAATGGGTTGGGATTTTTTGTGTCATGTGCTGAGTAGTGGCATACGTTAGGGGCAGATTTAAAAGCCCTTAACCCACTTGCCTCTCAATAAGTATTCCACCTAATAGGTACGCAAACAACTAAAGGATTTGTTATAGACTTACTTCGACAAAAAACATTAGAATCATTGTAGTTTTGTAGATTCGAAGAGTTTAGGTTGAAAGAATATGAGTATTGATCATTTTCATTCCGTACACAAGATAATTAGGCATCAAACTTTAAGTAGATATGAGTTAAAGGTCTGATGAATGCAATGAAATTGTAAATGTGATGATTATTGAATATATAATAATCTTTATACTAAATGAATTTTGTGATACGTCAAGATTTACCATCGCCTTTTCATAAGTTTATATTCTGTCTAGGAAAATAAATTTTCAAATAAAAATAAAGTAACACCAGTGCATTATTATGAATACAATATAATATTGCTCAATGAAGAACATTTAAGTAATTGAGTGGCGAGGAATAGATATAAAAATTAATATTGTGTTATAAATCGTATAAACTGGCCCAGAACTGCATACGTTCTTTCAAAAGATCTGAATGAACTGTAAGGTTGTCACTTATCCTCAGGTAATTGGGCGTTCTGTCCGTAAACGGGAGCCATGTTGTTGGTATTTCTTCATTTGGCGTTGGTGTAGGATTTCTGTAACATAATACCGACATTTTATATTTTAAAAATATGTTTGTTATAGATAAAAGTAGTGAAAAGAATTATATTTATGAAGTGACGGTGAATAATTATATATATACTATATATGTACTATTCGGTTCTCTTCGGCAAGACGAAGTGTTGACTGCATTATTATTTAGGAGGAACTACAAGGATGAGCTTGACTTTGCGAGGTGCTAGATGTTTCAAGGCTTCTTCTTTTTGCTCAAGAGAACCGAATAATTCAACAAAGACTATGACAAACAGGGCACCATCTGGGTATGTAGCTCTCCTATTTTGCTATGCTCAAGCAAAAGCCTCAAATGTATTTTCTCCTTTTACTTTTGACCAGAAACGTTGTCGACAAACTTAGTTGTTCGGAACAACTGGTCCCGGCCGATAGCATTTGCTCGAGACAAGTACGCAAGAACAAACGTATTGTTTGGCTTTAATCCTTTGCTATCTTTTCCCGTTTCTATTTCGACTTCAATTCGCCGCATCAGGATGCGCACGAAAGCAGCTACGAGGCTGATTGTGCTAACCAAGGACAGAATGTGGGTTTTTGCATTTTGCGCCACAGTGTCGAGGCAGACCATTTCTTGGAAGAAATAGTGTTAATGGGTAATTAGATACTTCACAACCATTTAGTAAATTGTTTGCCATCAGATGATTCATACGGTGTGAGTATCAGACGGTGTTTAGGTCTGTGCAAGCAATAACTTACCAAGTAAAATTAATGCAATTTCCAAGAATTATAAAATTTAACTAAATTTTGCTATTACTCATAACTGTTTATTGTAAATTGTTACCTATGCACAAATATGTAAGATACTGCTAACCCGAAAGATAATTGTATCTTGTAAATATCAAGAACCATATTTTTGTACATATTGTAAGAAGACCCAATACCCAGAGATATATTAGTACAATAAATAATGAATAATACAGTTTTACTAAATAAAGTGCTACATTCTGAACGCAGTGAGTCAGCTAATAGAACGTTAACCGTTATTTCATTCAAATATGAATTCATAAAAGCAACGCAATATTCATACGAGTTTATCATTTTATATCCAAAGCGAGAGAATGTGTATAGGTACCTTAAGTGAAAGTAAAATCAAAACAACCTAGTTTCTACAAATCATGTTTTCGGTCCATCATTGAGCTTCACTATTTACGCAATCTTCTCGTGATTTTCTAAGACCTCAATTTTGAAGAGTCACCAAAAACCCAGTGTTTTTCTCTTGTTAACGCAACTCTTGCCTAGAGTGCGTATGTTTTTCGGGTACGCCTTATATAAGACACCATCCTGCAGTGTACTTGCCCAGTCGTTGCGAAGTTAGCCCACAGCCTCCCCATGCGCCGCCGAACTAAGGCCTCGGCGCTGTGGGGTGCCGGGTCGGGCAGCCCCGGGATGCGGAACTGGTAGGCAAGCTCGTCGCCGTGGCACACCCCCTGCACCTTGCTGCGCAGGGCTGCCCCCACGAAGTTGAGGAGGCCGCGGAAGGCGAACTCGTAGAGGTACACGGGCGACCCTAGACGGGAGTGTTCGTCAGCCGCACGGAGTATTCCAGACGCGTAATTGACGTCGGTGTAAAGCTGGAAAAAGACACACGGAAAGATGTCACAGTCGGCCTCGGTGGCCGAAGGGCACGGTGCAACGATGTTTGGGGTGAATTAATGAAATGTCAATCGTCCCATGACCGCTTTATTTTCTATTTCCCACCATTTCCTCCCCTAGACAAGTGGTCTCCAACTTTTTAATTTCTTGTATACGTAATACAAATGAAGTTATGTAAATAGAAAACTAAATTTTGTGTATACCAGCATCATGTCGATGTTTTTGATACCAGCATCGCCGATCTTTTTTGTTGCAATAAATCGTTTCTATAGTTGCGTCTGATGGCACAGACTGCGACGTACTAGCGCTAACTAGCTCGCTCCTAACGCGTTTTCAAACATTTATTTGTGCAATAAAGCTTAACATTATAAACTAATTGCATGAGGTGCAATTTTGGTTTTTAACGAAAATATGTATCGTGTAACGTCGTGTGTAGTGATCTACACCACAAGGAAACAGACACGAGTGAGTATATACAAGTTTTATTTACACCATGTACATTTTTACAACTCTCACTCTAAGGCGGTTTGCCAGAGCTACCACTGCAGCCCTCCTCTCCCTACATGCGTCTTGCGGCGACGCCTGCGACCGGCCTGCAAGGCCGCCTCGCAAATTGGCACCTGGTGTGCCCCGGCAGATTGACGATCTGCCCGCATGTGTTTGAAGAACACATCATCCTGTCCGAACTCGTCGAACAACCACGTGCCATCGGCACTCCGCACCAGCCTGGGCGGACAAAGGTTTTGTGGTCTAGCCACGAGGAAACCAGGAACGTTACCCGTTCGCGCCGTCTCGCCGCGGCGTCTTTATAGGTTCAGGTCACCTGACCTCCTACGTCACTACTCCCCACCCCCGCGCGGTGGAAAGAGCCTTTCCCTGGCGCTGCCTGGCCCGCTGACCATTTCCTGTTGGAAGTTCTGTCTTTGTTTGGGCGTCTATTTTAATATCCCCCAACCCTCTACCTTGCACTCGGCTTGCTGCTGCCAAGCCGTGACGCTACAATTGTAAGAGCCCGTTTCATTATTGTTTCACAATACTTCCCTCTGCTTCGTAAAGCGAACTCGTCTCGACACTTTACATTTCGTAACCGAATCCCCCCCCCCCGCCACTTACATTGACGAGTCCTTCCAGCGTGTCCTCCGAGAGCTTCTGGCCGTCGAAGTACAAGTCCTTGACGTGGCGGAGCAGCCGACGCGAGCGCTCCGGGCGGCGGAGGTCCAAGTCGTCGGGCAGCAGCCGCTCCAGGTGCGAGGCCAGCTCCGCCAGCGCCTGGGCCTCCGCCGCCGCCAACCCCTCCGCCCCCTGCGCTGGCGGAGGGAACAGACCCAGCCGCACGCCCGCTCCTGCACATTTTGCCATTACATTTCGGCTAATCACGATTGGATTTCGGCACATAAAATTTTACTTTCTCGCTACGGAGTAGAGAAAAGGTCATGTTGTGCTGCGCGAGAAAACGGCGAATTTTCAGTAGAAAAACTCTTATTACAGGGCTCTGGTAATGAAAAAGGGGATAAATCCAGTTGCTAAATTTAGAAAAAAATCTTTTGATACATGGTGTAATCAAAATCGATGTTTTGTGGATCCTTGATTCTGCAAACTCGAGTGACGGTAAAACGCATGTCCGTCTATGAACAACGCTAGCGGCTAAACCGTTCAGCCGATTTTATCCAAAATTAGTATTCCCCAATCAATCTCGCGACCCTTTGAATTTGAAACCGATATTTTAATTTGGGGGATACTTTACCTGAAGCTCTCGGGACATTTTCAAAATTTTCAAAAAAGTAACTCCATCATTTTCAATTAAATTTTGTTGTTAGTTAGTAAAAAGGACGTTTAATATAATGGTGCAGGTTTCACGTTCGTTGAAAACTGATTATTTGAAAATTGCAAAAGTTTAAAATTTCTTCGGATCCTACAACAAGAATTATCCAGCTATAGATTTTTTCTTTAATGAAATCTGTTCTTTATAGATGGATTTTGAAATAAGGTCGTGTACAATTTTTCGAAAATTTTAGTACTTTTCGCGTAATTGTGCGTGAAAATAGGGTGAGAGTGTACGTGCTGCTTTATCACCGCTAGGTTTTATTAATGTATTTCCTTGAATAGCCTAACGTACTCTCAAGAGAATGGTGCAGGCCTCATTTTCGTTAGAATGCCTGATTTTTCACAATTTGTCAAATTACATTTTTTTATGCGTCTTTCTACAACTACAATATTAAAGGCTGTTATCAATTGCTTTCGTATTTTATTTAAATTTGGCGCCTAACCTCTAATAAGCAATTATAAGCTCTCCTTGACAGGCCTTCAGGCTAAGTTTGTGCATTTTCAAGTATCGGACTATGAAGATTGTTGTATTTCTTTCCAACATCTATGAAGCTAATGTGCAGAGTAAAACAAGCGAAGTAATATTTACATTTAAAACACAGTACCTACCCGCACTGAATGGGCAAGCGCTCTTAGAAGTTTGACTTTACAAAAACAGAAACAAATTATAAGACGCCACCGTTACGAGTGCATTGTTGAAACACGAGCAGAGCAGCCTCTAGTGGCCGTATTGCTTTTACGCGGAGAGCCAACGCGACTTTACCACACAACGTGGCTTCACCACACTCAATGCGGTTTCACCACACACAACGCGGCTTCCCCACGCCCAACGCGGCTTCACCACACACAGCCCAGTTTCCCCACGCCCAACGCCACTTCGCCACATATGCCACTTTACCCCACGGTACCCCCTACCTGGCAGATTGAGCATGCCCTCGTGCGTGGTGATGCCGAAGACGAGCGGCACCCGCGAGGCGTCCGCGCGGCGCAGCAGCTCCTCCGGGCGCGCGGGGAGGAAGGCGGCGGGGTGCGGCGGCTCCACGCACGGCACCAGCACGAACAGCACGCCCCGGCGCCGCTCCTCGGGCGTCTTGGCGGCGTCGGCCGCGGCCACCAGCGCCGGCGCCGGCGCCGGCGCCGCCCGCAGCCACCGCAGCAGCGCCGCCGGCTCCCCGGCGGTGCGGGCGTCGCACCCCGCCGCCCGCGCCACGCGCCGCGCCCGGCCCGCGGGGTCGCGCGCTACGTTGCGGGCCAGGAGCGCGCTGCCGCTCTGCACCACGGCGCGCCGGAACAGACCTGCGCACCCGCACCCCCACCCTTCGGTGACAATCCGTTCTAAGTGGTCCGCCACCGGGGCGCTCGACCATTTCGAAATAAATTCGTATTTTTAACATAAATTTCCTTAGGTTACGGCTATTCAAAATCATCTTTCATTTTTTTATGCGGCCATTTTTGTTTTACGCCTTGCGCCATTTTACGCGTTTATAGACTTATTCTTTTCTAAATTAATCAGCTCTACCTTGTTCTAATATTCTCGAATAAACAGTATTGGATTCAGAATGCTCTGGCCTACAAATCGAAATTTATTTACATACCTTCTATGCGTTTATTTGAAAAATATTTGCAACCAAATCTATAGAACGCCAATGAACGAAATTCGATTTTCAGAGAGTAATCTATCAAAGAAGGAATGGAACCACAACCTTAATTTATTCTGTGCTATTACATTTAACAGTTTAATTGCTTTTTGTAAAATATCATTGGTAAATAACGTACCACTTGAAAATTACATCCTCTTAAAAATTGGAATTTTGGATTTATTTCAAATTTTCTACTGCAATATATCTGTTGGGGGACCGGATATAATCATGAAAATTGCACATATGCTAGATCGCTGTAATATAAAACTTGAGAAAAAAGTTCAACTTTTAGATTTAACTCTTTCTCGGTCGTACCGCTAGACATCGCACTATTTGATTCGGACGCGATCATGCGATGCATCGGCACTACTGAGAAAGACGCGAAATGCCATGAGATATTCCATCGTGAAGACTGGTTCTGACGCGCCACTTTATAAAACGTTAATATTCTCTTAGAAGACCGGCTTAGGACATCAATAGATGTCGCTACAGTGCCTCTGACTGGGAAGTCCTGACAATGAGGCGGGATTTTTGACACTACCTTTATAAATCGGTTTCCTGCTGTCTGCCGCAATTTTTCCTGGCGTGTTGCTTGTTAGTTGACAGTGGTGTACTAAAACCCTTTTTTATGTGACTAACCTCATTAATATTACTATTGCCAAATTGTTTCCTACTAAACGTGATAATTGGCTTTTGCCAAAGTGCTCCAATGTCTGATAACGATTTCATTATATTGGGAATCTAAACAGCGGTGTACTTTAATGGGTATTTTCTACAAAATATTTTCCCGCGTGACATTTCAGTTTAAGTTCAACACTGACGGGGCTTATATTACAAGTGATAAGATAAGACTTAAGATAATGACAAGTCGTATCAAAATAAAAAAATGTTTATTACTAATTGGCCAAAATGTTCAATTATATCCCGGGAGTAAGCCTAATTATTTCTCTTCTCGTCATATAATATTTAAGAACTCAGTGAGAGGGAATCCTATAACACTCTGGTGTACTTTTGAAATACCGCTCTTTGTGTTCGCAAAGTTAATATGGAAAGCACGTGCAAGTCAACGAAGGGTCGAGTCAATCAGTGAGATGTTATTCTGTCATGTGACTTGAAAATGGAAACGCATAATTCTGAATGGAGAGTGGATTACTGTAAAAGAAATGCGGTATAGACAATTTCAAAAATTAAAAATTGTGGCTTGTAACTATCTCTCACTGATTCATTCATTTAGTTGCGTCGCTTTTAACATTACACTCTTCAACATACACCACTCCGCAACTGTTAAAGTACAAGAAGTTGAAGATGAATTTCTTATTATTACATACCTTTGGATAGAGGTGACAAGACATGAAAATGCACTGAAGCTCCACCTGCACTCTGTCCGAAGAGAGTGATGTTGTTAGGGTCCCCACCGAACACCGAAATATTCTCTTTCACCCAGAGCAGAGCCATCCGTTGATCCTTTAGTCCAGCGTTGCCTGGTGCTTCCAGCGTATCAAGACCCAAGAAACCTGAAATAATTTTAATTTTATAAATATTTGTGACATACAAGTCCAGAATATCTCTGCTTAGTAAAATATTGAACCCGTACATTTTCAAACACGAGTTTTTATCGCGGTACATTTAGCTAGAATCTTTCTGCTCTAGATTTTGTTCTTCATATTTTTCTCTTAGAATTTTCATTGTTATCCAATTTCAAAACTACCATTTTGGTGGATGCCTCGTAATAGGTATTTTCAACATAAATATTTATAAACTCAAACATTGAGATGCCAAGCAACGCATCGTGAATCTTCGCAAATCTAATCCTGTGTGTTGTGTTCAGCAGACGCTTAACACAAATATCACACCGATGGGAAAAATCGCAATATAGAGTACCTAGTGCATTACAATAATGATTTTTACGTCTTGTCAAATACTGCGCAGCTCAGTGTTACCCCTCCCCTAAACAAGATGTTAGCATAAAAGAATGAGACGTATTAACCTTTACACGAAAAAAAATGCACAAGAAATGTAGAGTTAAATTTGCACATTCTACAAATGATCTGGGTAATATCTGAAAGGGAGTTTTCTCGGAATTAAATTCATTCTCCTGCAGTCTTTGTCAAGACAATTTACTAGCAAGTCTATCGTACGTTGATATACAATGAGGACATAAAAGTAAAGGCATACCTCCTAATATTTCTTTTGCCTGGTGAAGTGCAGAAACTCGACGTGGCATGGACTCAACACGTAGTTGGAAGTCCCCTGCAGAAATACTGAGCCATGCTACCTCTATAGTCTTCCATTATTACGAAAGTGTTGTCAATCTAGGATTTTGTGCACGAACTGGCCTTTCGATTATGTCCCCAAAACGGGATTCTTGTCGGGCGATCTAGGTGGTCAAGTCATTTGTTCGAACTATCCTGAATGCTGATTAAAGCAATTACGATCAATTGTGATCCGGTGACATCGCGTATTGTCATCCATAAAAATTCCATCGTTTTTTAGAAAATGAAGGCTATGAATGGCTGCAATGTTCTTCAAGTAGCTGAACATTATCATTCCCAGCCAATTATCTGCACAATTGGAGTAGAAGACAAAGCTCTCATTACTATGGAGCCACCGCCAGCCTGCCTTCTTGACAACGTGGGTCCATGCTTTCGGGAGATCTGCGCTGTCAAACTCCATTTCTACCATCTGCTCTTGCAAACTGAAATCGGGACTCATCCGTCCAAGTCAGTTTCCAGTCACCTAGAGCCCAATTGATATGGTAATGAGTCCAGCAGATGCGCTGCAAGCGATGTCGTGCTCTTAGCAAAGGCATTTGAGTCGGTCTTCTGTTGCTGCACCCCATTAAAGTAAAATTTCCCTGTACTATCCTAACGGAAACGTTTTCGTACGTACCACATTGATTTTTGCCGTTATTTCACGCAGTGTTGTTCTTCTGTTAGCACTAACAACTACTCAACTTCTTCGCCTCAGCTCTCGGAAATTAAGTGAAGGTCACTGCGTTGTCCGTGGTGAGAGGTTGTGCCTGAAATTAGGTTCTCGGCCCAGTTTATATATTATGGATCTCGAAATATTGAACTCTCTAACCATCTCCAAAGGGGTATCACTCATTCGTTTAACTCTAACAATCATTCCGCCTTCATAGACTGTTAATTCCCGATGTGCATCCATAATCATGTCAGAAATATTTTCACATGAATTACTTGAGTACAAATGAAAGCTCTGCCAATACACTGATCATGTAAGCGATACTATTGCTCTCTCTATTTGCATTTTGCTATCCTATGGCTTTTTTCACCACAGTTCTCGGTTGAAATCAACAAAATATTTTGACTTCTTTATTATTCCTTAAAATTTTAAATCTACGTGAACATTCCTTCCTGAGCATCTTGAACGTAAGTATTGTCAATACTTACCCAACGGCCCAATACGGTAGTTGATAGTGACAAGAATCACTCCATTATCCATGAACGGATCGGGCTGAAACATATTGCTGGACCCACTCAAGAATCCTCCGCCATGAATCCAAAAGAGTACAGCAAGTGAAGTGCCATTGTCACTCTCAGAACTCAGACATGGGGTGAAGACATTGAGAAAGAGACAGTCCTCATCTCCCACGATGGCCTTAGCAAATCCATCGTATTGCACGCACTGGTTGCCAGGTTCGATGGCATCTCTCACGCCAGACCAGGCGCCCAATGGCACTGGAGCCTGAAAAGTATTTCAGAAACTTGTAGCAATAGTAAATAGTTCACAGTAGTAATAGAAAATAATAACTAGTGATGGATAATAATGTTTTACTAATTTAAATAGAAGATTAAAATCATGTCAAAGAACCTTACCAGATGTAATGGGGATCTTGCTTCCCTCAGAATGTACCTATCCACTTTATTCGCAACTCACAAGTTGATATTACTATTAACAAATACTTCAGCTAAGTTTGTGATCATTCTGTCTATGTATACACAGGGATGACAATCCTACAGCAAAACTCACTTAATGGATGATGTAATTATGGATACACATTTCACACATTGAAATGTCAATACAGCAAAACTCTAATACAATGTTACAAAAACTTTATAAAGTCAAAATGCCCCTGTTGTTTTTATAGCGCGTCACCCAGGAAGTTTTGGATACTTGTAACTGTATGTTTAAATAGGTGTTGTGGTAAGATATCTTTGGCATTTTTAAAATAATTAAAGATGTTGTCATTGCCAACAATGTTTTTTAATTCAATAGCAGCTTTCGATGGCTTAGCCATCATCATCAGTTGTCTGCTAGATGGAAGCCACTAGCTAGATGGTAGTCGTTTTGTGGCGTTTTGTGGCAATCTCTTGAATGGGTTGGGCCTTAGGTGGCTCAAGGCGTCAATTGGTGTCACTGGTGTGCCTCTGATTGGGAGGCACTAGGGTTCGAGATCCGACAGTGGCAGCATTTTCTACTCTAGCTAGGTAGCTAGATCGAATTCACAAGCTGTTAGAGAAGCATTCAAGTAGCCGACTGCTCTGATCGGTAGTTTTCCGTGGTTTCTCCGATCAACACCAGGTGAATGCCGAAGCAGTACCCTAACAAACGGGCCACGGACTGTGCGCTATCTTTCCTCTCTCTTCTTTGTCATATCCTCACCCCTACTTACCCACAATTACATGCACTACACTACCACACATGTGGGAAGAACAGTCGGGATCTTAGAGCTTGTCCCAGCTGGGGCGGTGCCCCGCTGGCGGGAGATAAATGGTTGCGAAAACCCTAAAAACCGACGGGTAGGTCGGCGCTGAATATTGCCATTCAGCGGGGGAAGTTCACCGTCAAATCCCGCGATAAAAACATGCACTTTACTGGGACTAATAACCTTAGCAGTTGACGCGCACCAAATCACTTAACTATCAGTCAATCAATGAATCAATCCAATGGGCTGAACCAATTTAGATGCGGATTTCACTAGTGTTTGGTCAAGTCTAATACAGAGTACTATTAAAAATATCGCCTACCTGAAGAGGAATGTATATATGTTTTTTCATAAAAATCTAGTTTTATTCCGATAATGCAATTTTGTATAAGTGACCCTACCAGAAAATTATGAAAAATCGTGAAATTTCGTGGTTTTCAATTTTTATTGAGTCATATGTGGTTTTATTCTCTTTTAAATGCTTCAGACAGTTTCTTGCAACGCTTCTTAGTTTTTTTCGAAGCAAATGTCAACTGTCAAGATCTAAGTCCGTGAACTTGAGATGCATTTTCCAGCAATGTAAATTGTCAGCACTTTCATCCACTTCAAATGTCATAAATCAAAAACTATTAAAGTTAATAATATAATTATTTTGTAGCGTGTAATCCTTGACTTTCTCTAGTGAATAAACTAGAATAGTTATTGTGTCACTAAAAATTTCAGTTTTATGAACAGAAATATTCAAACAAAATTTATAATTTTTTAAAATATTTTCTCAAATAAACGAGTCTGGACTCTTTACTTTTATCGGTAACTTCTCCATTCTAGTTCATTCACTAGACAATTTAATTAATTAATTAATTAATTAATTAATTAATTAATTAATTAATTAATTAATTAA